CTCAGATCCCCGAGTTATGAACTTGCCCGAAAAAAATTTTGGCAGGCTCGTAGGGGGTACCATGCTCATCCGGGGGCTGGGTTTGAGCCCACTAATACCCGCTTGGGCGGTGAACGTCACCCCAAGATTTTAGCCTTCTAGCTTCTCAGATCCTCGAGTTATGAACTGACCCCAAAAAAACTTTGGCGGGCCCGTAACGCGGGTACCAGGTTTTGGCGCCAATTTTGGGGATGGGGGCCCGTACACGCATGTAGATTATGCCCCCAAAGTTTCAGCCCCGTAGGTTTTGCCGGTCTCGAGATGAAAAATCGGTACAGACAAACACATAGACACACACACAGACACACACACAGACAACCTCTCGTCAATATGCGTTTTCTGTATTGCATAGCTGCAAAAAACGCATAAAAACACCGAAGGTTACAGCCAAGTCTGTTGTTGCCCCGAGTTGATTCGTTTTGCTGGAATGGGAAAAATTCGATAAAAGTTGCGCGCAGGGGGACCTCTCGCGAAAGATCCTTCACCACGCAGCGCCCTTTGCGCATCCTTCGATCGCTAACTTTTCTGGACGTGGGTTTGAGATGTCGTCGGGAAATTGTGCGGCAACCAGGAGGGAACAGACGTACTGAGACCAAGAAGTACAGCATACGTTTTCAACAGATTCTCTTCACCAAGACGCAACGCTACCGATGCCGTTTCCGTTTGTATGCAGGAAAAGACCAAAACAGAGCTAGCACGAGTTCAGGCATTAAACCACAACGCGAGAATCATCCCTGCTGTTAATGACGTGGTCGCTGCAAGTTTAACGCAAAAACGGCTGATGACGTCGGTAAGTCTGGTGCGTCGTAGTCTGTGTCGCGACACGAGAGAATTACGTAGTTTTCATCAAATGATTATTATGTACATGCAGATTTTTGATTTGTCTCACGTATTTATTTGTGTGCACTCCAGTCCTTTGATGGTGATAAACCTTTGATGGGATGGACAGGTCCAGCAGGAAAATAGAAGTAGATTTGTACTGGTCCGGTTCGTTTGGGCAACTACTAAAATTTGGCTCGGCTCGTGCAGTATCGTACAGAATTTGCAAACGATTTTTTCGGCTCCCGCTGCCCCACTACTACAAAGGAAGGTGTTGTCGCGGATGGGGTGGTGGTGGAGAGAAGTGTCGAGTGTAGGGTTCGAGCGCAGGGATCGGGACACGGGGGAGAGGAGGGGGAGGTGGTTGAGTAGGTTGAGTGGATATGTGGCGTGGCCGGTTGGCAGTTGCCTTGGCTACGTAAGAGAGAGGGAGGCCCGGATGTGGTGGGTGGAAAGTATGAGGAATTTGCTGCTGGCTTTTTTCACGGGTACATGGAGTAAGGAAAGGGCTCGGGAGGAAGTGGATTGCGGAGAGCATTGGAGGCAGAGAGGGGGAGAGGTAGTAGTCAAGGGCACATTTTTTTAGATGTGGGATTCGAAGCAGGAAGATGGTTGAGGTAGGCGGGTGAAAGAACTACGTGTGGTAGATCCTTTGGCGGTTGCCTAAGCCATGTGAGGGAAAGGGGAAGCGGTGATGGGTGAAAAGGAAGGGAGCAAGAAAAAAGTAAAAGCAAGAAAGCAATTGGAAAAGCCCGCCATCAGTAGGGGACATCCCCACCTATAAAGCTGATGCTTAGGTGAAGCTGAAAGCGAACAAGATAGGGCTGATGCCTAGGTAACACTGAAAGCGAATAAGGTGAAGCTAATGCTTAGGAAAAGCTGGCAGCTCTCAGGTTTACCTAAGCACCAGCTTCATAAATAAGCTTATTTCCCTCCTCTATCCTATCCCCACACTCTGTCTGCAGAGCCAGCCACTACTACCATTGGTCGTTCCATACTTCTCACTAGCCGCCTTGTTCCTGTCATCCATCTTACCTTAATCCGTGCCCTTTGAACTATAACCGGGCACCTGTCAACCAATTCCCCCACCATCCACGTGGAACCCTCCTCCCCCTTTTCCTCCTCCTCTTCCCCAGAACATGCGATCTAGTAGCTGAACGCCTGACACCGCTACCCACTTCGCCTGGCAAGCCGCCAAGCGACGTTGACGAAACTTCCTGCGAAATAGCGTTAGCGGAGATGCAGAGTAACAGCCGAGCCGAGCCGATCCAAGCTGTATTTTAGTAACTGCCTTATACCGACGTCTTCTGATTTCTTCTACAACTTCTAGCGTCACAAGATTGTTTTAGCAAAGTGAACAACAACGGCAAGGAGAATGCCAACGCTTACAGTCGACTCTGCAACGCCGCAGGATATCGGAGTTACGTCGAAGTCCAGCATTTGATTCCCCTTATTTGCCCGGGAAACAGGTAGGCACAAGATTTAAATCGGCTGAAAGCCACTGCTTCTCTTTGATCAGCGATCGTTTCATTATAGCGCACCTTTAACGTTCCTGGTCGTAATGACTCGCAGTCATATCACCCTGTACCCGACATAGCTAGTAATCCTCCATCTCTTTTCCTATTTTCTTTCGTCATCTTTTCCTTATTTAGCGTGCGCGATCCACACCGGTCAGTGAGTCTTTGGCATCATTCGAAGCTGCCACCAATCACAAGAGGAGGAGAGGAGTATATAGTAATTGGCCAACGCAGGGGCTGCCCGCGTGAAGATGCGTTTTCTGCATAGATCCCACAGATTTTTGTCGCTAGCGGCACTGGTTTTTCCGGCAGATGCTTCTAGCTAAATGAATTTCAGACTGGCTGTCAGGACTGATAGAAACATCCCTTCAAAATTCCAGTCTTCTAGCTTCTCAGATTCCCGAGTTAGCCACTTACCCGAAAAAAATTCTGGCGGGCCCGTATGTGGGTACCACATTTACGCGGGGGCTGGGTTTAAGCTCATTAATACCTACTTGGGCGGGAAACATCCCCCTAAGATTTCAACCTTCAAGCATTTCTGGTTCCCGAGTTAGCAGCTTACTCGTGAAAAATTTTGGCGGCCTCGCACGTGGGTACCACGCGGTAAGAGCTCCTATTTTGGGGATTTGGGCCCGTACATGCATGTAGAGTAAGTTCCCAAAATTTCAGCCCTGTAGCTTTCGGAGGTCTTGAGATGAAAAATCGGTACAGACGAATACACAGGCATCCCCTCGTCAATATGCGCTTTTTGCAGCTATGCAGTGCAAAAACGCATATTGTCGAGGGGTTGTTTGTGTGAGCGTGTTTGTGTTTATGTGTATGTGTATCTGTGTGTGCGTCTGTAACGAGTTTTCATCTCGAGATCCACAAAAGCTACAGGGCTGAAAATTTGGTGAATTGATCTACACACACGTGCGGGCTCGTATCCTCAAAATGGGCACTCAGGTCCGCGTGGTTCTCACGTAGGGGCACGTGAAAGTTTTTTTGGCGGAGAAGCGTCTTCGAAAACGGCCCGTGCGAGGAGGCTGGAGCTTCACAAAGATGGTCCTTGGCCGCGTCTAATCCAAAGATTTTAAATTCAGCTTTCACGTACCCCCAGATCTCACGTACGCACACGTCAAAGTTTGAGCTGACATCATGCCAACTCCAGATTTAGGGTGATCAGTAAGCTGCAGAGAGCTGCAATTCTGCTGCGTTACCCGTCGCCCACTGTTGTACCCGCGAAAGTAAATTACTTGCCAGCTCTTCTGCATCTGACGTACGAACACGTGAAAATTTCGCGCATTCGCTTTTGTAACTTCTGAATTGAACCAGCCAGAGGGCCTGGATTTTCTGAGCATAACCGATGGTGGCCTTTGACCAGATGCACGCAGAAACGACTTGCAAATCACTTTCATGTCTCACGTACGTCTCACGTGGACACACGTGAAATTTTACGTAACTCTGCAACCAGAGCAGTTTGAGTACTGAAACATAGCACGACCTAGGGCCGTGTTTAAGTAACCGCAAGCAAAGAAGGCATTCACGTTGCTTCTCTCATACGGATACGTGGAATTTGGCGTAACTCGCAACCGGAGCACCCAGATCGCTGAATTTTTTGGGCATGGATTGGGAGTCATTGTAATAATTTCTAACAGTCGTGGAGGCCAGTCAAAATTCTTTTAGCTGGAAGCATCTGCCGGGAAGAGCGTGCCACTGGCGAAAAAAACCTGCGGGGGAACAGCACGAAAAACGTATCCTCGTACCGGCAGCCGGTACGCTTTCGACTAAGTTTGCGGCTATGCAATGCAGAAAACTCATATTGATGAGGGGTTATTTGTGTGTGTGTCTGTGTGTTCGTCTGTACCGATTTTTTATCTCGAGACAGGCAAAAGCTGCAGG